AACTTGGGTGATCTACCCGACTTGGCCTCCAAAAATGCTGAGATTACAGGCTTGAGCCACCGCGCCTGGCCTTGTCTGGCTTTGTACTTTACAGTGTATATTTAGTAAATATTTGACGAATACATTGATATATTTATGAAAGGAAAAAATAAACATAACATACACAAACCTGGCGAAATTAATTTTAAAAATTACTCAAAGAAAAAAGAGAAGGCACAAATAATATTAGAAATAGAAAAGAAGACATAACTATAGATGCTGTACTATTTAAAGAGATAAGAAACTATTAACTTCTTTATGCCAATGCATTTAAAAATTTAGATGAAATGATTGTTTACCCCCAGTTTTCTTGTGGCCTACTGGGTCTGCCTGAATTTCCAGACCTGGCTTTTTCTGGGCCAACCTGTCTTGTAAAGATGTCATCTCTCCCCAAATCGATCTGTAGATATTCCGATTAAAATCCCAACAGGGTTCATGACTTTCATAGGCTGGAAGGTAAAGGGCCAAGATCGGTCAAGAACACTCCTCAAGAGCTAGGCTAGGCAACTTGGCCCCCCCTTATTAGGAAGGATTAGCACTAAGCATAAATGAGCATTTAGAAGGCCTGACCATATTTTCTACACAAATCTAATACCGAAATAAAGACAGGGCCCATAAAGGGGAGTGCTAGAGATACTAGTTTTACCATCATCATGACTTAAGGGAAATGTCATGTTTTGGCTTTCAGAGGGCAGGAAACTAGGTGCAATCTTCTTGGCAACCATGAGAGTCAACAGAAAGGCCCAAAGCTGTAACATCCTGAAACCTGAATGAAATCAACCCGAAGGCTAGAGGTTCCCTAACCTAGGAAATAAAAATATGCCAGTTTATTTCCACCTTATGTATTTATTTGGCAGGAAAAACAAGTTTGCCTTTTTTTAAAAATTGCACACCAAATAAGCAGAACAACACAAACTTTTAACAGAATGTCCCTTAAACCAAATTCGTGTTTTATTTATTTTATTATTTTGTTTTAGTTCATTAATTTTATTGTAATTTTTTGAGGTAGGGTCTTGCTCTGTCACCCAGACTGAAGTGTAGTGATGTGATTGTAGCTCACTGCAGTCTCAAACTCCTGGACTCAGGCAGTTGCTCCCACCTCATCAGCCTCCCAGCTAGCTGGGACTACAGTTGTGGGCCACCATGCCCAGCTGAGTTTAAAATTTTAGTTGGGAGGATTGTAGTTATAGTTGTAGTTCACTCTTGGAGATTACTGTCTCACTGAGCAGGCATTGTCTTCTTCTATTCAATTGTTACCACACTAATTATATTAGCTGATTTTGCTCCCCTCTGGAAATAGCTAAACATGGGGATGGGGTCTTGCTATGTTGCCCAGGCTGATCTCTGACTCCTTACCTCGAGCAATCCTCCCGTCTCAGCCTCCCGAAGTGCTGGCATTGTAGTGTGGACCAGCCACTGCATCCAACCACAACTATGTTTTAGAAAGAAAGAAAAACAAAATGATTAACTTGCAAAGACTCATTTTGTTTAGGTGATGTAGCTGTTAAATATTGCAGGAATTTTAACCTTGTTTTTAAGTTTAAGTAGGAGTTAATTATTTTGTTAGGTTTTTGAAGGACAAAAATAAGTCAAGTTTCTTTTTTCTTCTTCTCTAGGTATATACCTCCGGATAAGAGGGAAGAAAATGACCAGTCAACTCATAAGTGGATGGTATATGTCCGAGGGTCCCGTAGAGAACCCAGCATTAATCATTTTGTCAAGAAAGTTTGGTTCTTCCTTCATCCCAGCTATAAACCAAATGACCTTGTGGAAGTTAGGTAAGCACACTTGAGTTATTTAACCTAAATTGAAATACAAATTTATTTTTGAAGTGGAAAAAAAGTGATTTAACTTTAGAACATTTCCTGGAAATGTAGTAATAATTGAGAATTGGCTCTTAGTCAAAATGTAGTTGTAG